GAAAACACACATGCAAAGACATATATTATTATAACAAATAATTGACGCATGCTTAACTTAGTTTACTTTATATAATAATCATGACAACAAATATAACTACTCTCCGTATTTTAATAAAAAGAAAATTTGTCCTAAAATAAATACCGCTTTAAATAATTCTTGTTTTAAACTACACTCTTATATTAAATAATTAACTAGTTCTTCTTAAATATATGATCATTAATTAAAATATATCAATAGTTAACTAATTGATGGGCTACTGAAAATAGTGTTCAGTTTTTGAGAAACATCTAATAAATAGAGATAATTTTAATAAATTATACCTTGTGTTGAACATTTTTCTTAATGAACGTTACATGAAGTAAAACAATATTTATTTTGTGATGACGAGAGTATATAAATAGTGTAGTTCTTTTTATCAAGAAAAGAGGGAAGATATTTATAATTCTCATAAACTAGAGGAGAGAGTTTTAATTAGTTCAATAAGTTCTTTGTTTATTGTTGTTTTTTACAAATTACTTTTGAAAAAGATTATTAAAATTGTTTTACTAAATTAAGCTACAAAAGCACTTGAGAATAATTATTACACATGTTTCTTTTCTTAGTTACAATGTAAAAACATAGACAGCTTTAAGGAGATAATGATGAAGTTTCATGGTGTTGAGAACAATAGGGGCCTCTAATGTCTCCTTTTTTTTTAAAAAAAAAAGTTGGAGTGCCAAAATTTTAGTGTCTAAATTGTGGTATAAAATATATTGACATCCTATATAAACAAACATTAAATTTAGCCTCTGACAAATAAATACTTTAACTTTGAGAGTGTACATACTTCTAATCACCTCAACTTGATCTTGATGGTGAACTAAACATTCTAACTCGTCTGTGTTGTATCTTGTAGACACCCATAATACATAAATTTTGAAGGTGTTAAATAATTATTTTGTTAGTTAAAGTGTTTATCTAACAGAGTGAAAATGAATTGAAACGTCTAGTATGCTCACATGCACTCTAAAAGTTGAAATGCTTACTAGCCTACTGAAGTCAAGTATAAATATTTGTTTATGTATTAAGTCAAATTAATGACGGCCTAAGCTCAAAGCGGACACATAAAATATTTTTAATAATTCCATTTTACCTCTACTTTTTCTCTTAATTTCAAAATCTCCAATAATCTTTCCTTTCATCTCTACTTTATCATTTTTTAAAAATAATTAATTAACTTAAAGTCTGTAACTTTACACAAATTTGATAATAAAAAAAATAATATAAATGCCTAATAAATACATTTTCTTAAAAAGACAAAAAAAGTGAAAAAAAAAACAAAAAAATATTGTAGTGGGGGGACTGTGACTTGTGAGTGTACTTAGCAGAACAACAACAGAGTGCTGCAGAACAAAATACCATGAAAATATTCACTACTCATAGAGTTTATCAAAATAAAATCTATGTTTTCTCTCAACTTTCTGCAATTTTTTTAATCTCAGCAAAGAACAGATTCAAGAACTAAAGTTGATGAGTTCAGTTTAGGTAAATTATTAAACTTTTTTTTTAAAAAAAAAAAAAAACTTCCATATGTATAACATAGTTTGAGTGGATTCATGTTTTTTTCTTTTCTAATTGTTTTTTCTTACTTATTGTTCAAGAATCTGATGACCCACTAAGCAATTTTGTTTTTTTTGTTTGTTTTGCTTTTGTTTCTGTATAAAGATTTGATTTTTAGTGAAGAACTATGTCATAAGTTGGTAAAGTTTGCTCCTTTATTTGCTTTAGCTAGATGATTCTTGGGAAGAGGTGATTAGATGGAATCTAACACAACTGTAGTTTATCGAGGATATGACCTTAGATAGGAATAACAATCTTTATTTGCTTTAGCATGATAATCAACATGATATGACACAACTATAGCTAAGCGAGTGCATAACCTTAGATAGGAGGTTACGGATTAGGGTAGCAACCTTTATTTGCTTTAGCACTATAATCAACAGGACATGACACAACTAGTTTATCAAGGATATGACCTAAGATAGGAGCTTATGGAGAACATGGATTAGGGTGGCAACCTTTATTTGCTTTAGCAAGCACATTTGTAGCTTACTAAAAATATGACCTTAGATAAGAGCTTAGGGAGTATACAAATTAGGATAGAAAGTTAGTAAGTACATTGAGTGTTATGTCGCTTATCTTTTCATACTAATAATTGTAGTATTACTGTTGTAGTTTAATGTTATTCAATTTCTGTTACTTTTTATTGTTTCTTGTACCCCGATTATTATTGTCTTCTTTTGTTGTAGTTACTGTTCCTTTTGCGAATGTTTTGTCCTTCTTTCTTTAGTTTTTTTTTGGCCATGACTTCTTTCACTGTCCGAGGATCTATCGAAAACAGTCTCTCTATATTCTAAGGTAGGGCAAGATCAGCGTAAACGCTAGATCTCACTTGTTGAGTATATATGTTGTTGTTGTTTACTTAATTTCAATGAGATGGTAATGTTAAAGATTTGATTCTAAATGCAGAAAGTAAGGGACTTACCTCAAAGAGAAGCTACAATTCCAATGGGAGAGTGTAATAATGCAGAATACATAGAGATTAATGAAGTTGTTTCTTCTTCAAGAGCAAATAATGATGGGAAACTTTCTCTATTGCCTTTAGTTTTTCTCATTTTCTATGAAGTATCAGGTGGACCATTTGGTGTTGAAGACACTGTACAAGCAGCTGGTCCACTTCTTGCACTTGTTGGATTCTTAGTTTTCCCAATTATATGGAGTGTACCTGAGGCTCTTATAACAGCTGAATTAGGCACCATGTTCCCCGAAAATAGCGGATATGTTGTTTGGGTTTCATCTGCATTAGGTCCATACTGGGGCTTTCAACAAGGTTGGGTGAAATGGTTGAGTGGAGTCATCGATAACGCTCTTTACCCGGTCTTGTTTCTTGATTATCTGAAATCAGGAGTTCCTGCATTAGGTGGTGGACTTCCTCGTGTTATCGCGGTCAAAGGCATTACTTTGGTCCTTACATACATGAACTATAGGGGTTTAACTATTGTTGGATGGGTTGCTGTTCTGCTCGGGATATTGTCGATTCTACCTTTTGTTGTTATGGGGTTGATCTCGATTCCAAAACTAAGGCCCACGAGGTGGTTGGTGATGGATGTGCACAGTGTGGATTGGAACTTGTATCTAAACACTCTCTTTTGGAATCTGAATTATTGGGACTCTATAAGTACTCTAGTAGGAGAAGTACATAACCCGAAGAAAACTCTGCCTAAAGCTCTGTTTTATGCTGTGATTCTAGTCGTTTTATCGTACTTTTTCCCTCTATTAGTTGGTACTGGAGCTGTTCCACTCGAGCGTGACCTGTGGACGGATGGCTATTTCTCAGACATTGCGAAAATACTTGGAGGAGTGTGGCTAAGATGGTGGATTCAAGGGGCTGCTGCATTGTCAAATATGGGTACATTTGTAGCTGAAATGAGCAGCGACTCATTTCAGCTACTTGGTATGGCTGAGAGAGGGATGCTACCGGAGTTCTTTGCCAAAAGATCACGTCATGGAACACCTCTAGTCGGGATCCTCCTCTCAGCTTCAGGTGTGCTTTTACTATCATGGATGAGTTTTCAAGAGATTATAGCTGCAGAAAACTTCTTGTATTGCTTTGGAATGATCTTGGAATTCATAGCATTCGTACGATTAAGGATAAAGTTTCCAAATGCATCGCGCCCTTTCAAGATACCTGGTGGAACAATCGGAGCCATTCTACTGTGTATGCCTCCAACCATACTCGTTTGTGTTGTTTTAGCGTTTTCAACCGTTAAAGTCATGATAATAAGCCTTGCTGCTGTTGCAATTGGGTTGGTTATGCAACCTTGTCTTAAACACATTGAGAAGAAGAAATGGTTGAAGTTCTCCATTAGTCCTGACCTTCCTGATATTCATCGCGATAATGGAACATTACTTCATTGATTGTTTAGAAATACACGATGATATGGTTCTCTTAAAAGTTACTCAATGTATGAAAATGTTTACACCCTCAATTATGATCTCTTTTTACTGTATTCGTTATTTGCGTTATGAAAACTGCAGTAAAAGCAACAATCATCATGGATATCGAATTTACAATTTAAGCACAGGAATTAAAACTCTTTAATTCCTTCTCCTTTATGTGGCAATAACTTTATTGCCCACTAAACCAACTAACTCTAGTTGATCTAGACTTTAAAAACCCACTCAAAACAAGACTAACTCTAGTTGACACTACTCTACCCAAGAGAACATCAAAACAATGATGTAAAAAGGCTTGACCAAAACTTAGATGATTCGACTAACTAACTCTAGTTAATACGACTCAAACTAAATACTTAGACAAACAACCGATCTACTATCTTTTATAACTTAGGAGTAGATTTACAATTTAAGCACATAAGACACAGCTCAAAATACAATAAAGACACTTCAGCACTCTATCAGGTCCCTTTGTTGAGCATGAGCAGTGTTCTTCCTTGAAGATGACCTTTTCTTGTTGAGCTTATGAATTGTTAGAAATTCACAGCTTTGTTTGCCAAATCTTGAGTTTGTGTTTTGGAGAAGAGACTATATCAAATGGATACAAACCCCTAGGGATGACACCATTGGCTGAGAGCCTGCTATTCTGAAAAGCTATGCACCCACCATGTCAGATGTGACAACTTTTAGACAACTGTCTTTTGACCTTTTCACGCACACCGTCTTTCCGAGACCAGGCCCCTTGCAGTGTTTTCTTTGTGAGTCTTGAATAGACTTGCTAGCTCTCTCTCCTTTTTGAATGAATAATGTTGTTTGTTTATTGTTGTATATATCAATCACTAACAAGAGTTTTGACCACTAAAACAAACAACCTCGTCCTCCCTTCTCATTGGTGAAGTACGCTGCACTTTCTGCTTTACAGTTGTACACCACTTTGAATCTGGACGAGAGCACTCTGCCAGGGACCGAGTCCCTGCATTTGTGAGTATCATCAAAACACCTAGAATATAACACTTCTACATCATTTCACCTACTCGATGAAAATATAATTACATACAGTGAAAAAAAATTATGAAAACTGTAGTACAAGCAACATTCATCATGGATATCGATATTCACTTCAAATTATAAGTTCGTGCTATAAATTTGTAAAAAATGACGTGCAAAGCCCGTGTTTAGAGACTAGTCTTTATATGAGAAATATCATCTTCTACATATGTTTCTCTTTGGCGATAGTGATATATAATGTACACTTTTCTGCTCGCAGATCACAATAACATCTTGTTCAGTCATCCTTCCGATCAACTCCAACAAAAAATTCGACATGCATTTGATTATTTAGTCCACCTTCCATTCTTGAAACCCCAACTTCCTAAATAAAAAATGTATACATGCAAAAGAAAAGATAAATAAGGAATAAATGATTATGCAGGTGATGTAGTAAAACGGGAATCAAAAGTTAAGAAGGAAAAGAAGTTCTAGAAAAGAGAAGTATTCTGAGGTGTAAAGCATTGTCCCCTCTTGATGATCTTTGCATGAGACTGAAAAAAGAAATTACATGCGTAGCTTCCGTTTTAATTGCTACTACAAGCCAGATGTTTGATTGCCTTTGACAAGTATATCAGTGAACTTTCAAAAATTCACATGCATATAGGCACCTAAGAGAAACCAAATTTCTCCCTTTTCTGTCAAATACAACCTATAAAACATACTGAACACAACTAAATTCTCTTGCAAATCGGTCTCATTTCCCCAAAATATCACACTGCTATACATGGAAGAAGAAACCAGGGAAGGTTGAATGCAAGACAAAGGTGGACCTAAAAATGCTAGTTGCACTTAGCAAGGTGTTTGGCAACGTACGTGGGGCAAATAAGTGGCTAAAATCCATGATGATCAATCTTCGATAAGTTGGCATTCAAATCTTTCCACACTCCACCAAATCCTACATTTTCACCATTGTTGTCCTTTTCAACCTTTCTGTTGATATCCGGTAATGGAAATGAAGCTTTCCCTGCAGAGAAACAGTTGCTTTCGAAATCATTGTCACCATATTCAGTCTCTCTGGAACTCCAGTGTATGTCAAGCTGCTTAAGTCAATTGAATTCTAGGTTGGGTTTTTGGTGTGCACATGATCAGAAAAATTGAGTTGAGCCTTATTACCATAAAGTTTATATGGAAACAACATCGTAAGAAGTCTCAAAAGTACCGAGCCAAAGGTGAGGGCCACGGTTTCAGCCATCCATTTACCCTACGTACGTTAGAGAACATCCTTGTAGCTGTAACTAGCATTTCCAGGGCCACCTTTTCTTCACATGCAACCTTTCTTGAAAGTTGCTTGGTTGATTTTCTTCTTCCATGTATAGAGGTGTAACATTTTGGGAAAAGAGATGGATTTGCAAGAGAATTGAGTTGAGTTGTTCAACATGTTTTAAGGTTGTATTTGTAGTTAAAAAGGCAGAAAATAAAGGAATTTGATTTCTGCTATGTGTATATATATATATATGTGAACTTGTGAAATTCCCTAATACTTCTCAAAAGCAATCAAACATCTTCTTTATATAGTATTTAACATGCAAGTTTTTTTTTGGTCCCATGCAAAGGTCGCCAAGAGTGGACAATGGTTTGCACTTTTGAATAACAATGCAATGCCAAACTTAAAGACATGTGATATCTTTAAAAGAACAACAAAAGAGAACAACTTATCAATTCTATAAACAGCACTAAAATGCAAAATGAACATAGGCTCACCTTCTCACTCTAATATCAATAAAAGGAGAGGATTTTCGAAAACATACCAGTAAAATTCTACAAGTGGGGTTTGGAGAGGATGTAGTATACACAGGCTTTACCACCTCGTAGAGTTAGAGAGGTTGTTTCCCAAAGACCCTTGACTCAAAATTCAGCAAATCTAGATATACAAAAAAAGAAAATAGTGAAGTAAACATAACGACTAATAAGAGAAGCAGTGCAAAGACTACAAGAACGAAATAAGAACCGAAACGCAATAAACAGATGATGATAGATATCAATAGCAAGAACAACAAGAATACAAAGCACATGGGTGAAATTACTGACCACAAAAGAGCAGCCGGATTCACACAACTGTGTATCCAAGAATTCTGCTAACAGTAACTTGGCGCTCAAGCATGGCATTTACCTGTTATACAGAATTACAGATGAATAGGAGAATTAGCACCAACATTCTGTCTCAAATCCAAATTTAAAGGAAAATCAATAATCATTCCATATTTACCACACAAAAAAATGCACATGTCAATGTACTAACAACTAGTAAACAAGAAGTGTCACTAGGCCTGTTGGTGTGGTTCGAATCCCTTACCTTGTAATCTCCTCCGTCAATTTCCCCTTCCACTATTAACACCTCAACAAAGTAAGTACATCATAAGATGGACTAAATTTGAGCCCACACATTTCAATTTTTTTTTAAAAAAATATTATATGAAGGAGCTATTTACTGAATTGATTCTTCAAAATGAATTAGAGAATCACTCTCTAAACCTTAGGAAATCAAGCCAATTTAGATATCCATTGGGGAAAAAATTTGAAAACTGTAGCAAAATCGAAATTCATTTTAGAATGGCTGATAAATAGAAAAATATAGGCTTCGACTTCTATACAATGACACATTGATAGATCTACACTCCATGGAGAAAGAACTGCAGTTTTTTCATACTCACCTCATAATTGGCTTTTGGGAAGATATCAATCAATGAAGAAGAAGTGATGATTTCATCAACAGTCACTATTCAATGAAGCTGCAAAATTAAAAGCTATTACATTGATTGCGTAGTACAAAATGTAAATTGATTACGAAGCAGACTTTTTATGTCTTATCGATAGAGTTTATCTGAACTATCAGTCGAAATTACAAAAGAACAATTGTGCAACAAATAGGAAAAAAACATAATCAGCTGATCTAGTAAAACAGGAATAAAAGGTTAAGAAGGAAAATAAGTTAAGTAAGATATTTCATTATCATAGATTCATGCCCTACTTACCTCTTGTATCTTTTTCCATCAGCAATGCATTAACATCTTCTCAAGCTATTCTTTTTGGTCCTTCAACGTTCATAACGATGATCAAAACAGCCACATGGTATATAAGAACTATTAGATTGATTTTTTTATACGCATCCCCAATTCTATTGATGGAGTTTGTCTGAACTGTCAACCAAAAATATAGAAACCAATTGCACAAGAAATAATACATAGAATTGAATAGTTCAAAAAGGAAAAGAAAAAGACTTTAACACCAAATTCATAAAGAGTTCATCAGTTATATATACATAACATTTTAGCTAAGACAAAAAGGAGGAAACAATAATTTAGAAACACCTCTAATATAAACACCAACGTTAATTTATAGCAAAAAATATTAACTTTCTTAGCATAGGTCATTTTAGTTGGTTTCTAAGAACAAAGAAAATAGCATCTGAGCTAAAAATTCAAGAAAAAGATCACACCAGCAAACTACGAGTCCGTAACTAAATATCAATGTGATACTTTATGTGCAACCCAATACTATAATGTTATTTCATTTATGAGATTGATTTTTAGTGTTTGAAATAGAAGACTACATATCCTATATCCTTCTCTTTCCCTTGTCCCCAGATGGACATGGTATGACTTATGAGAGCTTGTATTTATCATAAGGTAGCTTCAGCAGTAAATGTACCGAAAATGTACCGTGTACATTTACTCAAAGCACCCATCTTTTAACTCAAGTTCTCTAGTCCATAATTATCCACATTCAACTTTTTCAGCACTAACGTTAGGGTTTACTTCATTTTTTTTATATAAACATTCAAATTCATTTACCTTGAAATAAGACAAAAAAGTAATAATTTTGGTCAGCAGTGTTAAAATTGGAAAAGTTTAAAAAGGAAAAAAATTCAAGAAAAGAAGTATTCTGAGGTGTATTGCGTTGTCCCCTCTCGACGATCTTTGCATGAGACCAAAAAATATGCATGCGTAGCTTCCGTGCTAATTACTACTACAAGCAAGATGATTGATTGTTTTGACAAGTATAAGTGAATTTTCTAAGTTCACATGTATACAGACACATAGGAAAAAGCAAATTCCTCCATTTTTGGTCTTCCTAACTACAAATACTGCCCTTAAAACATGTTGAACAACTTAACTCAGTTCTCTTCCAAATCAGTCCCATTTCCTCAACAATGTTGCACTACTATACTAGGAAGAAGAAAATCACCTCGGCAAGTTTCAGAAAAGGTTGCATGCGAGGCAAAAATGGCCCTGAAAATGCCAGTTGCACCAACAAAGGTGTTCTTCGCCAACGCACCAAGGGAAATGGGTAGCAGAAATCCGCGACTCAAACCATAGTCCTCTCTAGAACCCCATTGTGTGTCAAACTGCTTGAGCCAGTTAAATTCTGAGCTTGGTTTTTGCGTGCACATGATCAGGAAAATTGAGTTGGACGGACCTTATCACCACACGGTTGTATGCAACAACATCGTAAGAAGTCTCAAAAGTTCCAAGCTAAAGGTGAAAGTCATAGTTAGGCTCATCGATTTCAGCCACCCTTTTTCCCATGTATGATGGGCGAACACCCTTGTATGTGCAACTAGCATTTTCAGGACCACTTTTGCCTCACATGCAACATTTTCTTAAACTTGCTTGGATGATTTTCTTCTTTTCGTAATAGTAGTGTAACATTTTGGGCAAATGGGATTGATTTGGAAATTGGAATAGAACTTGGTTGAGTTGTTTAGCATGTTTTAGGTGCTGTATTTTTAGTTAAGACGATAAAAAATGGAGGAATTTGATTTCTCCTACTTGTCAAAAGCAATCAATTATTTTCCTTGTATCACAAATAACACGGAAGTTAAGCATGCAAATTTTTTTGGTCTCATGCAAAGATCACCAAAAGTGGACAATGTTTTACACCTCATGGTACTTCCTTAGGTTTTCTTCTTTTTTAGAATTTTTTTCCTTTTTAAACTTTTTCTACACTACCGACCAAAATCAATTTTTTTTCTTCTTCCAAGGTGATGAATTTGGAATATTTAAAAAAAATAAATTAAGTAGACTCTGACGTCAATCCTAAAAAAAATGAATATGGATAAGTATGAACAAACCTGAGACAAAATATGGGTGCTTTGAACAACTATAGTAAATGCACTTTTTGGAAGAGTGTACATTTACCGCCAAAGCTATCCTCTGATGAATACAAGCTCTCATACCATGACCATCTATGAACGAGGTGAAGAGAAAGAAATATAGGCTTCCATTTTCAATACTAAAAGAGCAATTCATAAATTAAATGACATTATAGTGGTACACATAAAACATCATATTGATAGCGTAGGGTAGAGTGTATGCAGGCTTTACCACTACCTCGTGGAGGTAGAAAGAATGTTATCTGAAAGACCCTCAACGCAAATACAACAAATTCAAGTATACAGAAGAAGAAAATAGGAAGTAAGCATAACAACTAACAAGTTAAGCAATGGAAAGCCTACAAGAAAGAAATAAAAACAACAATACCAGATGACGATAAATATCAAAAGCGCCAAGACCTGATCATGTTGGTGACCTTCAATTCCATACCCCTTATAATTCCTCCCCTAATTTCCCAGTTCTCGTTCCCATTCTCCTCCGCCGATGTGTTTTGACATCCCACAGCTTCGGCAAATCGCTTAGCCCCGTTCCTCTTCGGCGCAAGAGCGCTCGATCAGTGAGCTATTACGCACTCTTTCAAGGGTGGCTGCTTCTAGTCAAACCCCCTGGCTGTGGGAGCCTTTACTAGTAAGGGACCGTGGAACCGGGGTCTCCACCTATTAACACCTCAACAAAACAAGTACGCCATAAGATGGACTAAAATTGAGCCCATTCAATTCAAAAGCTTAAAAATACAAAATTAAAGGAACTATTTTTAGTGAATTGATTCTTCAAAAGGAATTAGAGAATCACTCTCTAAACTGTAGCAAAAACATAACTCATCGTGGATTCAAAGTTTAAGACGTGATTATTTTCTGATTCAAATTTTTTTTGACAAAGTAGAAGAAGTTCAAACTCACCGAAATGCTGCAAAGAGTCCGAGAGAACACTAGGAAATTAATCCAATTTCTTCTACACCATCTCACCTACTTGATAAAAATATAATTAACACAAACACAAAAAATGGATATTTTTTTTAAAAAGGTAGCAAAAAACAAAATTCATCATGGATTAAAAGTTCGGATATCTAATTCTCACTTCGAATTATAAGTTGTGATTGCTTTATGAGTCAAAAAAAATAATTGAAGAAGTTCTGGAAGATCAAACTAACCAAAATGTTGCGGAGAATTCGAGAGAAATGTGTTTTTGTGGTTTTTCAGTTTGTGAGGGAGAAGCATTATTTGTAGTGTGTTTACTGCTTGGGAGGTGAAAACAAGAAAACAAAACCGGGTTCCAAACTCCACGGTAAAAGGCTAAAAGCATGACTAAGATTTGACCCATTTAGATGAATTGGGTTGGATTAAAAGATTTTATTATTTTTAACTTATTGTTTTTTAATTTTTGTTCATGATATAAAGTTGTAAAAAATGATGTGCGAAAAATGTGCAAAGCCCATGTTTAGTAACTAGTCTTTATATAAGATATATTGTCTTCTAAATATGTTTTTCTTTAGTAGTGATAATGGCCATGTGATACCTAAAAGCTCTTATATTGATTGCATTTTGAACTTTTCAAGTCAAATTTATTTAAACATGCTATGATCAATCGGAAACATATAAAATTATTACACAAAAATAGGAGAAGAGGATAACATTATAAATGTGAAATCAATAGTTTAAAATAAAAGGTTTAATGAATAAAGTATGATCCTAATTTGCTATTTGTCAAAAACAATCAAAACATTTATTTATATATGTATAATTGACTTTTCTTGTTTTATCAATAGAATTTGTCTCCGTTAAAAAAGACACTAAACAATTACCATGTAATACAAAAAATGTATTCAATGAAGTGTATAATATGTTGTCAATATATTATACAAACGTTAAGAAGGAAACAGAGTTAAGAGTAAGATATTTCATTATCATAGATTCATGCCCTACATACCTCTTTTATCTTTTTCCCATCAGCAATGCCTTAACATCTTCTCAAGCTATTCTCCTTAGTCCTTCAGCGTTCATAAGGATGATCAAAACAGTCACATGGTATATAAGAACTACTAGATTGATTTTGTTATATGCTTCTCCAATTCTATTGATAGAGTTTGTCTGAACTAACGACCAAAAATATAGAAACCAATTGCACAAGAAATAGGAGAAGGTAATGACAAATAAGAATTTAATAGTTCAAAAAGAAAAAGAGTAAAGAATTTGACACCAAATTCATAAGGAGTTCATCAGTTATAATTTTAGCTAAGACAACAAGGATGAAACAATAATTTAGAAAATCCTTTGATATAAACACCAACATTAATTTATAGCACAAGATATTAACTTTCTTAGCACTGGTCATTTTAATTGGTTTCTCAGAAGAAAGAAAATAGCATCTGTCTGAGCTAAAAAATTCAAGAAAAAAGAAGACACCAATAAACTACGAGTCCAGAACCTAAATATCAACTTTTTCAGCACTGTTACTTCATTTTTTTACCTTGGAAGAAGACGAAAAAAGTAATGATTTTGGTCAGTAGTTTCAAAATTGTAGAAGTTTAAAAAGGAAAAAGGAATTCTAGAAAAGAAGTATTTTGAGGTGTAATGTGTTGTCCCCTCTCGGCGATCTTCGCATGAGACCAAAAAATATGCATGCGTAGCTTCCGTGTTAATTGCTACTACAAGCAAAATGTTTGATTGCTTTTGACAAGTATTAGTGAACTTCTTAAGTTCACATGTATACAGACATATAGGAAATCAAATTCCTTCATTTTTTGTCCTCTTAACTACAAATACTGCCCCTAAAACATGCTGAATAACTTGACTCAATTGTCTTCCAAATCAGTCTCATTTCCCCAAAAATGTTACACTTCATACAGGGAAGAAGAAAATCACCTAAACAAGTTTCAGAAAAGGCTGCACGTCAGGCAAAGGTGACCCTGAAAATGCAAATTGGCCCAACAAGATTGTCATCCAACGTACATGGGGAAATGGGTTGCTAAAATCCGTGAGCCAAACTGTAGCCCTCTCTTGAACTCCACTGTGTGTCATCAAATAGCTAGAGCCAGTTAAATTCTGAGCTTGGTTTTTGTGTGCACATGATTGGGAAAATTGAGTTGGACCTTATCACCACAATGTTTGTATGCAACATCGTACCATGCCAAAGGCGAGGGCTATAGTTAGGCTCATGGATTTCAGCCCCCCAATTTGTCGATGTATGATGGAGGACACCCTTGTTGGTGCAGTTAGCATTTTCAAGGTCACCTTTGCCTCGCATGCAACTTTATGCGACTTTTCTTGAAACTTGCTTGGGTGATTTTCTTCTTTCTCATGTAGTAGTGTGACATTTTGGAGAAAAAACGGGACAGATTTAGAAGAGAACTCAGTTGAATCCTTCAGCATGTTTTTGAGGCTGTATGTATTAGAGCAAGCTCAAACTTACCAAAATGCCGCGGAGAACTCGTGAGAAGACATAGGAAATTAAACCAACTTCTTCTACGCCATTTCACCTACTCGATGAAACTAAAATTTCACAAATAGTAAAATTTCCGTTGTCCATTCACCTCCTCAATGAAAATTTAATTAACACAAACACATCCGGTTTAAACTGTAGCAAAAAAAAAAATTCATCAAAAATTCAAAGTTTAGATATAGAATTTTCACTTGTTATTGTTTTATCCGGCGGAAAAAAAATTTGATGAAGCGCAGGTAGAGCAAAATCCTGCGGAGAATTCAAGAGAAAACTTATAAATTAATCCAAGTTCTTCTACGCCATTTCACCTGCTTGAACAGTGAAAAAATACATGGAAACTTCAGCCAAAACAACATTCATCACAGAATCAAAGTTTAGATATCAAATTGAAGTGCAGATAGATCAAACTTACCAAAATGCTGCTGAGAATTCGAGAGAAACTTAATAAATCAATCCAATTTCTTCTACGCCATTTCACCTACTCGATGAACAGTGAAAAAATACATGAAAACTGCAGCAAAAACAACATTCATCACAGATTCAAAGTTTAGATATCAAATTGAAGTGCAGATAGATCAAACTTACCAAAATGCTGCGGAGAATTCAAGAGAAACTTAATAAATCAATTCAATTTCTTCTACGACATTTCACCTACTCGATGAACAGTGAAAAAAATACATGAAAACTGCAGCAAAAACAACATTCATCACAGTTTCAAAGTTTAGATATCAAATTTTCACTTCGAATTACAAATCGTGATTGATTTCTGAATCTAAAAAACAATTGATGAAGAGGTGGAAGATCAAAGTTTACCTATTGTGGAGAATTCGAGAAAGTGTTTTTTTTTTTTTTGGTTTCTCAGTTTCTGAGCGAAAAGCGTTATATATAGTGGGATTACCGCTTGGAGGAGAAAACAAGGAAACAAAAAACCGGGAACCAAATCCACGGTATGAAACCCGGTTATTTAATTGAAATAAAAAACAAAAACGGTTAGGTTTTTTAAAATAAAAAGTGTGAGTAGGTTAAGAAAAAATAAATTAAAATATTATTATTTTGGAAAGAAGTATAACGTATTACACGTGAACATCACATTTCCAAAGCTCTTCCAAAATGCTCTAGAGAATTCACGAAAAAAAAATTCTATATTTTTCTGTTCGGGAGAAATGTGTTTTTCTTTATTTGGTTTTCCATTTGATGTTTATTGCTCGACTAAATTTGAATCGCATATTGCAGGATCTATTCTAGAAGTGATGCTCCCAAGAATCAGGGGCAGACCTAGAGGTTGTCGAGGGTTCATTCGAACCCCCTCGGCAAAATATTACGTAGTATATTTAAGGTATTTTAAATAATTTTTATATCTTTGATTTTGAACCTCCTAAATGTAAGATCAGATGTTTGCTTAGTAGTCGAGGGGTTCAAAACTCTCCTTGAGGTTCCAAGATCAAATCTTAGGAGTTAGGCATTACTCTTTTTTTTCGAACCCCCTTAATGGAAATCCTAAATCTGCCACTGCCAAGATTGCTATAAGAAAATTCATGATGAAAATATAGATGAAAACGTAAATATACATAAATAAAATATGTCGTCTTTGTACCTTCATGTAGAGAATATTTTCCAAATTAAAAGAGGGAGGTTTTATTTTTCAAATTTTTGTGTTCATAATTTCTATTCTTAATTTGTTTTTAAAAAGTTAGAATAATTAATGTAAGATATTCATGTATATAATGATTAGCATTATATAAGATATATCTTCTTTTGTAGCCTCTTCTAGCAAATATTTTTCACAAAAGGGATGTTTTATGGATCTTTTGAACTTTTTGTTCTTTAATTGTTATTTCTTATATTATATATAGATTTATAACAGTTGAATGTGTCATAAATGTGCAAGATCCATGTTTAGTGACTAGTTTTTTTCTAATATTATATAAGAGCTAGTTTCAACATATTTTTTATTTGTCTTTAAAATTTAATATATACATTTCATAACATCAAAGCTTTTCGATTTTAAACATGTCTTCCTATTCAGTAGCTAGCCACCATATTCACTCTCAAACTAAATGAAAGTTGGAAGTTGATTGCTTGTTCTCATCTTTTCTACAATTTTACACGACACTCATTCGATTTTTCTCTTCCCTGTTAATCAAAATTCGTTAGAGAAAGAGCTAGCCTTCTTAACTGAGTAATTTCCCTAGATAGTCACCCATGTTTGGGAAATTACCTAGGAATATCACTTATGTTTGTTTTAGGACTACAATATCACCCAACTTTATCTATTTCCTCAAAATATACTTGACACAATAAATACATTATCTCTCTCCTACTAGGATGCCATGTCACATTATTCCTTTTTATTATTAACAATTTTTTTAAAAAAATTAGACAACCCATATATTATACCCAGTAAAAAAAATTACATAAGGAACTGTAATATGAGCTCCTCCAATTCTTCAAGAAAATATGTGGCTTCCTCCGATTCTTCAAGGAATAAAATAACGAATTTGCATAAGGAACTGTCTCCTGAGCCGTTGTATACCATTGATGTCAACCAAAGAAATTGCCATGAGGTAAAATTCAAGTTTTCTTCTGATTCTTTTATTTTTGAAGTGTAAATTGTGAAATACTTTGAATACTTGACATGATATGGAGTAATTTTCTTAAAAATTAGGGATTTATTGATTGCTTGTTTTTGAATCGGATATTTCTATTGTTTGAATCTACCTAAGCTTTGAACAAATGTTTATAGTTTGTGTAAAAATATTTTTTTTACCATGAATAAGAAACCTTAGATTTTTTACCATGAACAAGCAACAGATGTTTATAGTTTGTGTAAAAATCAATGTTCCTAATATCTAGTTTATCTCTAAATATCCAACTAAATTTATTGTTTCTTCATCAGCTTCAAGGAACTAGTTTAAATTTTTCCTCGACAGCAAGACTAAATTTTTGTATGGATATAACAGCAAATACTCGTAAATGAAACAGCTTCAAGGAACTAGTTTAATTTTTTCCTCAACAGCAAGACTAAATTTTTGTATGGATATAACGGCAAATACTCGTAAATGAAACATAGAATAAAGATTTTCGTTATAAAATTGAAGTAACTAGATTTTCATAGAGAATGTATTAATGCTCTCTGATAGATCATTAAACAAGCTGTCATTTAAAGAATTAAAAAATGTGACATGACATCCTAGTAGGAGAGAGATAATGTATTTTTGTGTCAAGTATATTTTGAGAAAAATAAGCAAAGTTCGGTGATATTGTAGTCCTAAAACAAACATAAGTGATATTCATAAGTAATTTCCCAAACATGGGTGACTATCTAGGAAAATTACTCCTTCTTAACTCTCGCCACATTGATATGAAAAGAGTTTGTCACATGTTTCTTTTTCTTATCTTTTCTTTTTCATAATGAAACAATTGAAATTGTCCATCGTTCCTTTAATCTCTGTTAATTCAGCCTCGCTTCTAAAGATTATTGATATATATACACGCACAGATATTTTGTTAGCAATTATGGTCGGGGGAAAGTCGAGGCATTGAGTGATGAGATAGAAGAAGAGTCTCAAATGTTGGGTAGTTCCTGCGGACCAAAGAAACCATTGAAAAATAAATAAATAATTCACTCGTTTTTTGAGTAAATATTTTCGCTAAAAACATTTTTCATAACTTCGATATGAAACACACCCATGATAGTGTGATATACTTTTCATGAGCAAAAATACATCATATATATCCAAGTGTTGAGATTTAGGGTGTGATATATTTTTTTTATGTAGTTTTTCAACTCTTTTGAAAAAAATCAGTTTTTTCAATTTTCACAATAAAATATGATTAATGTCTACATAATGTTGCTTACTTATCCTTTTATTCAAGTAATTAATAACATTATACGTATAAACTTACTGGTACTTCATGTTTGTAAGGCATCTCCATGTCCTTTAGCTCATCTTAATTCCAACAAAATTCACTTCTTAATTTTTAATTGTAGCCTAGCTAACTTCTCTTGAAGCTATTTAGCATGAGACCTCCTTATAGGATGCTGAGGTGATTTCTTATTAGTTGTGTCACATGTTGATGGTCTATCTTGGATGCTATCGTGAATTTTGAGTAATTCTTTAGATTTCAATATTTTTCTCAAACATAGTTATAATTACTCTAAATCAATCAATATCATAATAATTTATTATATCTCCCAATTCTTGAAACCGCCGCTTGAAGATCATCATTACTCCATGACTAAGTCATTTCGACAATACTCATAAAACAGAAAAAAAATTGAGAAAATTGTATGAAATAGCAAATTATTAATTCAAATTAAATGATATAGCTATACTTTATTTTATTTGTATTTCGCAGCAAATATTCCATTTTTTTGCCATCTGATTCGGTATACAATTAACCATTTATACATTTCGGTATAAAATGTGTTTGCGTTTGTATAAAGAGAGAAAAAATTATATATACAAATACAAATATATATATTTTCGTCATATACACTTATAATTATACAAATACATGTCTTATTATACAAATTACAATGTATAAAATGAAATTTATACAAAACTGAACAATTTTGTATAAAAATTGAATGTATCTAGCGAATTATACAAAATCAAAAAACTCCATAACAAACATAAAATTTGCTATAAAGCGCAATTATGCAAACTATAGTTATAACATATAAATATGGTTTTTATATTTGCTATATGAAAAAGTTGCTAAAAAAATTCCATAAAAAAACTACGTACTACATTCAAATGTCTCGCTCACACTTTCATTTTTATAATTTTTTTTCTTATGAACACTATTTTTACCTCTGTCAAAAGAATATTTGACTTTCAACCGTTATAACTTTATCTTAAACATCATAATATTACTGTAAACTATTTTAAAGTTGAAATATTGTGTACCTAAGTTTATTTTAATATTATGAGTTCAATGTGGAGCTTTGGCATCACTATAGATGAAATTGGTGAGCAGTAAAGTTATATTGATGAAGTTTTACTAGAAATAAAGATTTAACTATTGATATGATTGTTATTATTTCAATTTTATTTGTGATGATTTGAAGCTTGCGAATGATTAATTTGAGTGTGGGGCTTAAGACATTGTCGTTGAAGGTTCCAAGTATTGAAGAAGACAATGTTATAATCGCAAGAAAGTGACTCTCTTCTTCAAAGTTTAACGGCAATTTACACTATTCCACAGTTCAAGGACAAATTTAACTATTTTCCACTATGCAAAATATTGATGTATTGGAGAGGTCCCGTCATTAATAAATGAGGACATATTTGAACCAACCTTGTAATTACTAGAATATTTTTATGACGACAATTTTTCTCAACACTCGTATACATAAACAAAAACACCTAAATAACTGCCTTCTTGCAACTTTTACACCTCAATCATCTATTATTTTATTTACCTACTTAAATCATCACATTTTTTCGTAAGCTTCATAACCAAACAATTCCTTCATTTGTATTAAACACACCTTAACACTGAGTTGGTCTATACGAGCCTATTATTGAATGGAAATAAATATTTAATCAACTCATAATCAAAGTGTTTTTAAATATATAAACTAAGTAATAATTTAGATAAATAAGAAGAATAACAGATCGAAAGAAAAAACAAGTATAACTAGAGAAAATTGAAGGAAAGGTATCCTTCAAGTTTGGAATTAACTATTGGTAACTATTTTGACCAAGAAAAGGTCAAACACACTTAACTATTAAATTAAGTTAATTGTGGACTC